CTTTTTTTGCTCCTTTTGCTCTGTAACTCTGTTCATAGACAAGATACCGTATTCCAAATAATACCGTTTTGTAGTACTCGTGGAGCTCTATCATACCTGATTGAGTTGGTTCGAAAACATTGATTCTGAAAGAAGTTATGGCAGGGTCCGCGAAGGCCCGGATTACAAGCATGCAAAAACCTATTTTCTGCAAATTTCCTACGTTTTTTCCGATTCTATTCTTTGTGCGGACTTCGTCAGCCACTAATTTGATCAAATACCGATAGAATGTTTTGTAGTTTTCGGGTAATTTGATACCGAAAATTAGAAACTTACAGCACGCTCCGCCCACTTTTTTACAGGGTCATTCACCAACTACAGTAGTTTTTCTCCCCAAAAAACATTTTCGATTTTTTAGAAATTATTGAAATTGTGAATATTTATGAATTCATCAAAAATGATTTTCTGAAAATCGAAAGTTTTGGAATTTTTTTTCAAATACTGTTTTTTGTCCAAATTTCGCTCGTAATTCTACTGTATTTTTGAGATAATCGATCTCAAAGTTTCCGTGTTTCATTCCGTTTTCCAATCTTCTTCCGCTAGCTAGGCCGGCTCGCTCTTAGGCAATCACCGCCACTTCGATTGCTCATACTCTCTTTTCCGTTTGCTCACAGGGTTCCCGTCATCTGCGGGTCTCTGCTGCAATAGCCCTCCGCAGGTGTTTGCACCCAACTCTCTACTCTCTCTCTCTTCCAAATTGTCTCTGGGCTCACAGAGCCCAGCAGCCAGTCGAAAAAAGTTGTCTCTCCTACTAGACAGACCTGTAGACAGTCTACTGTAGACTGTTTCAGTTGGAATGGACGGCTAAACAGAAATGACGGTGGTGGCAAAAGGGATACAGTAGGCTAGACCGTGCTCCTCAAAGACCGTGCTCCCTCTACAGTATCCCATTTAGATGGTATAAAAGGGGCTATTTTGACCTATTTGATGGGAGTGCCTTCATTTTCTGCTAGCTGATTAGGCTCCGCCCCTTTGCCCCGTTCTCTTCAAAAATAGGAAAAATTCTGACATAGCAACGGGAAAACAGAAGCATTTACTAATTGCCAATTAAGCTCCGCCCCCTTTTCGGGCTTCTGTTTTGATGGGGTTGCTATAGATGACATTGAGCTTCTCCTGAGGGAAAGAGAGATAATGAGAGAGAGAGAGACGCAGACACACGCAAAACGAGAGAGAAAGAGCACAATTTTGGTCACAAAAAATCACAGAAAACCAAAAAGTTTTGTTAGTTATGTGTTAGTTATGAAATGACGCTATTTTTCTAAGTGCCTATATAAAATGGGCCTAGAATCACGTCGTAAACCTTATCGTCAATTTTAAGCCCAGTTATCTCGGTTCCTGTAAGAGATATCAAAAAGTGATCAACTGATAAAATGTCTATCATAATCTGAGAAGTCCTTTATCAGTTTACCACTTTTCGATATCTCCTACAGTAACCGAGATATAGAGGCTCAAAGAAAACAGCTTGAGGGGGGATCTTGCCGCCTGCACACTTGTCCACTTTTAGCTAATTTATCTCGGTTACTGTAAAAGGTATCGAAAAGTGATCAACTGATAAAATGTTTATCATAATATCAGTAATGTTTTATCAGTTGACCACTTTTTGATATCTCCTACAGTAACCCAGATATAGAGGCTCAAAAATACGGCATTTTCTAACTTTATTGAAGCTGAAAACCAGGCTTTTTTCGAAGTTAGATCCGCAGGGTCTTGCCTACTGTACCTATGGGTACAGTACCCTTGGGTACAGTAGTACGTGACTGTACCCAAAAATAGTGTACTTTTCTTATCACATATTGTTATCAGTCAGGCAGGCAACATGTCCTCATGTCCGTCAAACAATTTCTGCCAAGATTTTGTAGTAGACAAGTGTAGTGATAGGGGGGGGGTGATAAAAGTGGTGATAACTTTTCTAACGACCACCACCATTACTGTCTTCTTCTTCTTCTTCTTCTTCTTGACGTCTTCTGAAGAAGAAGACGTCAAAAAAAGAAGAAGTGATAAGACACTGATAAGAAGACAAGTGTAACGGATTCTCTTTATATAAATCTAGTATTTTCTAGCTTTTGGCTACACTATTTTTATTGATTTTTCCACTTTTGGATTCTTCGAAGGATTCTGAATTCCTTCTAGATGACGTCAGAAAAAATGAGAATTTTTTGTCATCATTTTTTTCCCGCAACATGTGCGTTCCGCCCTTATCACTTCTGATAAGAGCGGGGTCAGCATTTTTTCCTTTTTGCAGGAAAAACACCTTTTGTCATTAGTTTCAAAAAACTGCAACTTTTAGGTCGAAAAAATTTTTGGCCTAAAAATATTTTTTTCGAAAAATTTCAAAATGGTCCAATAGTGATAAAAATTGATAACACGAGCCGAAATTGGCTGCAAATCAGAAATCTTTGAAAAAATTCCGAAAAAAACGATTTTTGAAAAAGTCAAAATTTCGAAAAAATTGACTTTTTTGAATTTTTTTCTCGAAAATTTCAAAATGGTCCAATAGTGATAAAAATTGATATGACGAGCTGAAATTGGATGGAAATAAGGAATTTGTAAAAAATTCCAGAAAAATCGATTTTTGAAAAAGTCGAAATTTCGAAAAATTGAGTTATTGGAATTTTTTTCAAAAATTTCAAAATCTTCCAATTCTGATAAAAATTGATATCACGAGCTGAAACGGGCTGAAAATGAGAATTCTGGAAAAAATTTAAAAAAAAATCGAAATTTGAAAAAAT